TCATAAGAATGGGAAAGGTGTGATTATTACAGTTGCAGCCTCAAAAACATTGTGTTTGATTCCTTAACTGAGCATACTATCAATTATAATTTCTTACAAGTAAAAATAACTGACTTATTCACTTGTTAAATATAAATCTATCATTCCGTTAGTTTGTGACTAATTTAGAATTAATTTCATGAGCTGATCTAACCTAGACCACCACTGAAAACCTGGAAGCACTGGATGGTCGTTTCGTCTTAGCATGGGACTTCTCAACAATGCGCAACCACGAACCCACGCGCGTGACTCGAACCTAGGACCTTCGGTCTCGCGCACGAACGCTTAATCTCTAGACCACTGGCCCAGCATCCAATAGGGTTGATGTCTAACTTCAACCGATCCATGAAATTGCACAACCCTTCATCCATGTGGTCTGTGTTAGTCCTGAAAATGTTGGTCTCTCAGTCAATCCAAATTTCTTTTAGAAGCGTTGACAGATGGAGCTTCAACTATGTGTTGAGGTAATGAATTTCGTTCGGTAACGATTCGATGGGAAAGTCGAATATCAGTTGACAAGTAATTCGTTCTGAGCTTGTGAACATTTTAAAGTGTCCTCATAAATTCTCTGTTTTGGAAGACGAGAAAAACGAGAGCATATCAGACGCAAATTTATCTCTAAGTAATCTAAAAACTATGATTACGTCGCCTCTGGTTCTTTGATATGGCAATGAGAATAGGTTTAGTTTCGTCAGTCGAGCATCACACTCGAGCTATTCGACTCCTGGAATCAGCTTAGTTGCGGTTCGTTGAGTCTTTTCCATCAGCTCGCTGTCTCACTATAGGCAGCGGCTAGCCGCTTATATGTCTTACCTAAGTTTACTTACTTACGCCTGTTACTCCTCGTGAAGGAGCATAGGCCGCTCACCAGCGTTCTCCATCCAACCCTGTCCTGGGCAATCCTTTCTAGCTCCGTCCAGTTGTAATTCATCGTTTTTCATATCTGCTTCTATTATCCGACGCAATGTGTTCTTTGGCCTTCCTCTTTTTCGCTTCCCCTCAGGATTCCAAGTTAGGGCTTGCCTCGTGATGCAGTTTGACAATTTGCGTAATGTATGTCCTATCCATTTCCATCGTCTTTTCCTAATTTCTTCTTCAGCTGGAAGTTGCTTTGTTCTCTCCCACAGAAGGCTATTGCTGATGGTATCCGGCCAATGGATGTTGAGTATCTTGCGAAGGCAGCTATTTATAAATACTTGTACTTTCTTGATTGTGGTTGTTGTAGCTTACCAGAAAAAATAATCCAAACCTAAGTTTAGGACGAACGATTACTGTATACAAAATCAAAAACCTTTTAGCATGACATGGCTAAGGGATCTGTGTACTGACCATAAGGTTCTAAAACCTTTGGCCGCCATCACATGACGGTGTGCAGTAGTTTTGAAGTCTTGGCTAACCATGACTCAGGTCGCTGCGTGTTTGGACAACAGGTAGCTTGATGTCATTTGCCGTGTATGTATCAGTACCTTGGTAACTAACATGTACCACAGTCCACTTGGGAGCATTTATCAGCAACTGCAAAATTTTATACATGTCAGAAAACTTCTCTAGGTCATCTTGAAGCTCTAAACTATCACCATACTCAGTATCGCTCTCCGTATCTTGACATCGTCAACATACAGCAAGACCGATGATGATAGGAGACGAGGAAGGTTATTCACATACATGAGGAACAACATTGGCCCGAAAACTGTACCCTGAGGCACTCCGCTAAGCGCAGTTTCCCAGCTAGACAACTTTGAGTTCACCCCTATGCTTTGTTGAACAACAACTAGAAAGTCTTGTATTCACATTATCAACTTGCATTCAACCACGATATTACTTAACATATATAGTAGCCAGTTATGGGGAATTTTGTCAAGAGTTTTCCTGAAGTCAATGTAGGCTGCGTCTACAAGTAACTCTTGATCTTTAGGAGCGCACCAACTTTCACAAGGTACTAATATGCTACTAAGACAGGATTGACCCATTCTAAAGCCATTCTGCTTTTCAGAAATCATCCAGTTCTCGTCGGGATACTTCAAGAATGCCTTCCGAATAATCTTTTATAAAATTTTAACAATCATGCTAATTAGACTTACCGGTCGATGGTTCTCAGCTGTATGTTTAGTACCTATTTTGAAGACAGGACTTATTACGGCGTTCTTCTAGTCGTTTGGTAATCGACCCTGGGATGCAGATAGTTCGAAACACATGCTTAAGGGGTTCTCAACGAAATTCCCTAGTTCCTTTAATAACCTAGGATGCATTTCACCAGGTCCCGTGGATTCGCTTATATCAAGCAGACCAAAGTCATCGAGTTCATTTATGGTCACAGTATATATGTGTGTGGGGTGCTTGTATGAAATGAAGTGAAGGGTGTCTCTACGGCATATGCATTGCTATAATAGTTTAAGAGTACCTGAGCTTCACCATAGTCGTCTTCCACTAGTGATGCAGTACTACTGCCTCCCCATAAAGCTGGGATGTCACCTCTTCTCTTAGTCCTTTGATTTATATATGACTATAGGAGTTTGGGATATTCTGTTCGCTCATTAACTAACTTTTTTTCATGCAACCTTCTAGACTTGCGGAGGGTCGAGGTACAAATATTTTAAGCTCCTCGATATTGAAACTTTTTCTCGTCAGCACTCAGTGACCTAAATATCTCGTACATTGTTCTCTTACGCCGAGTGCTGAGAACCTCTTTATTGAACTATAGTGGGGAGTTTCTAGGACCCCTTGGTGTAGTCCATGGATGTGAGGTGCAGTAACTTTTAAGTACAGATTTCCAAATACATTCCAGGCCGTTCCGATGGGAAAGTTAGGCTCTATTGACCGATCTACTGAGGAGGCTGAGCGTATAACTTCTTGTATACTTGCTATCCAGATGTTTGGACTAACACATCTTTGTTGCAAACAGAGATGCGATAAATAACTTTAAGTGACCTATTTCTGTCTACTTCATGACCGCTATCGATCAAATGTGATAGAGCCGAGCTGCGTATTGTCTTGACAGTATCTTTTCCTACCCACGAAGGGATATGTTCATTAACTCTTTGCCTCAGTTGTCTCGTAGTGCGCCCAACACAGCTTTCTCAACAGGAGCAGCTGCAGTCGTAGATGCACATAGATGTGGCATATACAAGTAACTTATCCTTCAGTTGAGAAATCACCATAGGTAGGATCAAGTATGATAGATAGAGGTTGGCTGCATTAAACGTTCTCTTCACTGCTCTAGTTAGTCTATCCCTCACCATATCATCAGTTACATCTCCGTTGAATTGCAACTTCAGGAATAGGGGTTTCTTACTAGCTATTGATGTTTCTATTTTCTTGTTTGTTATGTGCAAGTGCTTCCTCAGGAAACGTTGTTGATAACCCATCTCGATCAACATATTATGTATGAGCTCTGGTTCCTTGTTTGTTTTATCAATTCAGCATATCTTCCTACCCCTATTTGCAAGACATTTGAGTAAGTTTCTCTCATAATGAAGGGGTACAAAGCTCAAGAAATATGTGTACTGGCTTGCTGAAGAACTTTCCCAACACACACTTCTACTGATAAAACCATCACATTACCAATTAGTACTTTTCATTTATTTTGTCTATTTATGTAATCTATTCAATTGTTATCATTGACTCATAAACTGCCTTGATTGGTTTGATAATTTCGTATGTGCATATAAATATTACTGTATGTTAGAGTAAAGCCTGATGAGGATCAAATCGAAAACAATATTGTTCGCTTAAATATGTTTTTATAAATCATAATATGGAAATTTTTCAAATGATTTATCATACCACGTTTGGACTAGTTGTCCTACCCCAACGTTCTGGCTACCTATTTTCCAACTCTGCGAATTTACAAATTAAGTTTCCTGTTGTAAACGTTTTTGAATTCCGTGGTCAATGGTAACTGTATGAACCCACGTGTCACTAAAAACGGTTTACAAATAAGTGACGAACTGAACACTAGAAAACTCGTAACACTGAAGTTCTCAGTATATTTTTCTCCTTATCTGTCTGTTGTATCTTGCTTTAGGGGTCTAGTATTGGCCCACGATGTTTACGGTTCTAGAGACAAAACAATTGAGCTATTCTAATACGGTCGGTTCTTTTTAAAATTGGCAACGGCAGTTTAAACACAATACATCAGAACCCCGATAGATAACACAGGGAGAAGTCGGACTGCAGGGAACTTGATATTGGAGGTAGGACAAGTAATGCGAAAGTAGTTGATACAACTGTTGTTATTATAGTATCAAAATATGACCTTCAAGCCTACAGAAATCTAAGTCACTAAAAGGTGACAAATAATCAGAGAATAAAGGTCATGTGGGAAATTAAATCAGAAGAGAATACGCGGGAAGTTATCGTTCCTGAGGAGATTTTAGCAATTCTAATTAAATCCGATTATTCTTGTGATCACCTTAGCACTATCCTTAAAAAATACAAGAGGTAAATATGCTTAAATTCAAACATCTCATACATAATCGTTGGAGAGAGTAGTTGTTAACACATGATGCAATTTCACCAAAACTAGTAGAAACCTTACATAATTTACGTTGGGAGATAGATGATGACTGCTAAAAATACTCATAACATACTTTTCTGAATTGTTACAATTAGAACGCCCTGTAAACAGAAAGTTGTTTGATGAGATTATATTTTTCAGACGACCTTCAAGTGATGCTACGGTGACCTTGGTAATATTCACCTATTTACTAGGGTTAAAAGAGGTTTATGTATTGATGTAAGGAATGAAGATTAAAACAAAGTTGACATTGAAGTTTAGGATTCGGAGTTAGCGTTTTCATCACGAACTGACATCATCTATAATGCTAAAATCTCATATATCCATATAAATGAATATAAATTTCATTATGTCATCTTTTTTAAACCGTTTTGATATAATGATTGATTTCAATCATTTCGCTAGTCCAATGAGATAGAGATAACGGTTATTAAAAGTGTAGATATAGTTAAGCTTTTCATAGTATTTAATTGATGTAAAAAATAGCCTAATTTACTATTTGTACAAAATGCATTTAAGGTAAAAGAAAATAACCGAGTTTTAATATGTAATGACCGATTGATCATTTCTTTCAAAAGACTTAATCTTATAAATGGATGACAGTTGGATTACTTGGTTATTACTCAGCAGCATGACAAGCAAAAATTATTAAGTAAAACTGATAGCAAATGTTTTATGAACAAATAAATTTACACATTTTTTCGTGAAGGTATAAAAGAATTGAAAGTCAGTGATCTTAACCAGAGATACATTAATTAATGAAGTAAATGTAAAGTTTAAAATTATCAAATCAAATGACAAGGGCTCTTTTTAAAGAAGTCACAATAGAACTAGCAAAATATGGAGTTTATGCTTAAATGATTTCACTCCCATGATTGTACGTACAAAACAAAATAAAAAAGGATTAGAATTTGAGCAGTTAAACAGTGTTATATGAATTTAAGTGAAATATAACATTTGCAAAAGTAAATTCTGAAGAAGAAAAAGAACAGAGTGATTTCCACTAGAAGAAACAAAATCATCGATTAATCGAAGCATAATTCAAATGAATAAGACATTGAAATTAGGATGAAGATGATGATATTAACTCAATAGACTTTAGTTGTGTTCGATACAGTTTTACAAGTTCTTGTTTAGTGATAAATGTATAACGAAATGACTGTAATTAAGAAAAAAATTAAATAAATCTTAGTAAAAGGTTAAGTAATAACTACATTATAAAAATGTAGTAATGTATATTATTAAAAAAGCACCAAGTAGATTCCTATAAAAACTTGAGTCAAATAAGAACAATGATGAGAGCAAAACAACATTGATTCATTTCATTTTGTTAGATTCCCATTAACTCCTGACAACTCGTTAGTCGAATTTGAACAAAGTTTAGCAAACTTATAGAAGTCAAGGTGGTTCAAAGTTAGTACGAGAATATATCAGCATAATGTATCAAAAAATCGAATTTGCAAAGATTGAGTAGAATGTTGTAAGCATGTATATATAATCCAATAGGAGGTTCTATATCATTGATCACAGTAATGGAAAAAAAATATGAGGCGTACAGAAACCTTATTTCCCGTATTCGTATTGAGACAGTTGATTCTCAGATGTACGATGAATATCAAATTCCAATACAACAATGAAAACCATAGCTAGATGGTTTAGCCATAGGGTTACCGTTCCTTATATCGTTCTCTAAATTACAATCCCTAAATATACCATCGACAAAATTATAAATTGAAGGTTAAGAAAGACGGTGCACAAGACATTTACTGCAGCCAAACTGAGCGCAGTTTTCTACAAACTCCTGATACTAAGAACCTTCAATAAAAACAGACTGTCTGAATTCGCCACATCCATGTGTATCTACTAACTCAACTGTTTCTGTGGGGCCAATTATATAGGGTGTACAATTCAACAAGTCCGTCATCGCACAGCAGAACATCATCCATCTTGGTTGAGCAAACGAAAAATAAGAGTGATTAAGAGTTCTATTCTCACTCACTTGGTGGATACAAGACATCAAGTTGATATGAATTAAGCTTTTAAGGTTATCTACAGTATTCCATCAAATTTACCATATGGTTTATGAGTTTATCTGTCGTATATTGCTTAAACTATCGAAATTCATGTCCACAAAACCTAATCTTTGCATACAAAAGGTGTTTGTACAACCACTCTTGCTACCTAGGTATTGGAGTGAGTTTTTAACCGAACTTTGATTAGACCCTTTCCTTCAAAAATATCCAACTACTTTTCTAATTTTTTTGAAATGAGATTATGAACCGACGAATGTTAGAACACCATTTAAAACCTGGAAGTGCTAGACGGCCATTTCGTCCTAGTATGAATTTCTTTGGCAGTACACACCCACGAAACGGCCGTCTAGTGCTTCCAGGTTTTCAGTGGTGATATAACATTCATGATCTCAATCAAACACTTAATAATCTCTACACCCTCATACTGATAATTTCCTAATTATTACGTAACACAACTACTCAATGAGTAAATCAAATATATGTATATTAGTGTATAGCCATGATGAAAAAATTAATGAAGAGAAATTTCTTCACTTTTCAAAATGAGGATTTCCACTATAATCAAAACTAAGTGATAACCGAATGACATAATGGAACACAAGTGACACACAATTGAAAATGACATTAAATCAGCTTTGTCACCTAAAAATTAGATTAAGAATGAAAGAAAACTACTTCAAATCATAATGTTTTTCCTGTCGATTCGTAAAAACTCAGCGCACAGAGGGTATTGCTCTTAATAAAATGATCGATGATTTAGATATTATATATTGAAAAAAAACTATCAGTCTCAAACGTAACGTATGCCAGAATTTCCACAAAATTTTGTCAAAGTTTATTTCAAACAAACACTTATACGAAGCTCCTTTGAAACACTCTACAAAGTTCATTTAGAACCTAGGTAGTGCGTGTCAAAATTTAGCTTGAGGAGAAATTTCGAAACATACAATTTAAATGTCAAAGGTGATTTAAAATCATTGTCAATCATCCTTAGTTTGTGTTCCACTATGTCATACGGTTATCGCTTAGTTTCGATCTTATGATCTTTTTCTTTTACTCTTATCAATATTATAGAACCTTCTATTGGGTTATATGTAAGATCTGTTTCGCAAGTTTTGTAAAAAAAATTCTCCACTTACACACTGATGTAACATTCTTCTTGATTCTTTCAGATGTACATTTCGTCAACCTTTCGATTCCATTTGAGATGGTACCATTTGTATTTTATTGTAGTTTTTTTCCTTACGTCTTCACTGAATTTCTATGTTTTTCTTGAACTACATCTATGTTATTTTAGTTTATACTTGGTCATGGCCATTGTCATATTGATTCGCTCACATTTCTGATTGTGTTGCTTTAATTGACTGAAATTGTTCGTTTTGGATTATGCATTGAAGCACTCTTGCAGCAATCAAAACATTCCGTGTTATAAAGAAATTAAGTATTATCTTTGAAACAATTTATACGTGATCTATCCAGGAAGGAGAGCATAACATTCCAGCGTTGATAGGACCATTTGTTTGTTATACTAAGTTATTGTCGTTTGTCACTTTATCTATTTCATGTGATTTAGATTTGAATACTGATTAAACAGTTATTGGTTGAATAACTACGAGGTAATATTTGTTTAGGTAATAACGTACGTCTAAATTTATAATAAAATTTAGAAAAGTTATTCACTCGATTACTTTGTCTTAGTTTCGACTGGGCGATAGCGAACATCTAAACTAACCCTAATAGTTATACCCTATTCGGAACTGATTTAGTTTGGAGGTTACATTATATATGCATACTTACAACATTCTACTCAATCTTTGCAAATTCAATTTTTTTGATACATTATGCTGATATATCCTCTACTAACTTTGAACCAACTTGACTTCTATAAGTATGCTAAACTTTGTTCAAATTCGACTAACGAGTTGTCAGGAGTTAATGAGAACCTAACAAAATGAAATGAAATAATGCTGTTCTGCTCTAATAGTTGTTCTATCTCGATTCAAGAACAAAATTCATGGACGGATTTATGTGAGATAAAACTTAAACGAGATAGTTCAGACAGAATTTACTAACTTCGCATTCTGCAAAATAAATCTTACTCATAGTTATGTTTCCAGTTGGGTAGTACGATCATAGTTCGCATCATTATCTTTTCGCAAATTCAGTTCAAAATTTGGAAACGTATTTATTCAACTTATATATACTATGTCAGTTTAAGGTAATGATTCTAATTGTGAATACTTACTCCCAGTAGATTTATTAGTTTTCAAAAGGTATGTTTTACGTTAAGCTACTTTTGATTGATTTATCTATAGCCACGAATTTGCTTCATTTTCTTTATTTACTGATTTGTATTCAGAAAAGTGACTGAACTACTGAGGTCAACGTAAGAGGAGAATCAGTGAAGCGAAATTGCAAGTTGTAACATATATTAAATAATCAATTCATCAAATACGAAATGGAATAAAATACCTCGTAGGACTTTATTTGAATCGACTTCATAAACGAGGAAAGATACATTGGGGCTTGATTATAACGTCACAAATTAATCAGTAAACACTGATTTACGCTTAAAAAGCCAATGAATAAAAGTCCCACATGCATGCTCGTACATCCATGCTAATTATCCCGTACATCAAACAACAAAATAATCTCTTTTTCCGTTTTAAATAAGTAATATTTCAACACGTTGGTTGTAACTGAGCTAAATAGAAACTCAACCAATTAATAGCTTGGTTTATATAAATAAACCATGTTGGGCTTTACTGACATAAATTAACATAAGTAGTAAGGCGTCTAGGTATTTTATTGAAGTAAACTCGACTACATTTTCACCAAATACTGGTAATCTAATGATGTTAACAGAGATATAAAGAAGGCATGAAAAACAATGGAAGTTATTTTTGCGGACATTATTTCACTTAATTTAAAGTTTGCAAAATACTAACATTTAATTTTGTCCCTAGATTATTCCATAAACCATAAGCTTTGCTTGATGCATAATTCACCGTCATACCATTTCATATTCCAGGGCTATTGTAATTTAAACGTAAACTAAGGTACTTTATATTCCTACTCTAATGCCCAGTTTGCACATAAATGTACTTTAATAATTGTTTGTTTGTTGTAATCGTGTTATTTATCTATATATTTATGCATTTTTATACTCATCTGAACCGAGATTCAGGAATAAATAGAGAAGCGCTTCAGTTGAATCGTCTTCTCTCTCGCTCTGTCGTTGTCAATCAATCAGGCGATCGAATAGTTTTCGTCTCTGCCTAAAGCCATTGGTTTTAATTTGAACTCACGCATTATTAGCCTCATAGGTGAACCAGTTAGTTTATCGTGTCAAGTGCTTGACTTAGATCGAGACAAGTTCTCTTCAGTATATTATTAGTTAGATAAACCGAGGATGTAACAACTAACAATCACTTCCCAGTTTAATTAGTAATCCTAATTACAAACCACATACTTTAGTCTGATTATTATAAATTAACGTTTATTTCTGATGTGCTTATTTTGTAATACCATCCATCCTACTGCTACTTCAGGCAGTCTAGTCAAGATTATCAACTATACTCCCATTTCAAAAATACAGTTTTACATTTCGTTTCCTTTTGATAGGTAGTGATAAGCCTAGATATTTTATCACTATGGTAATTAGATAAATTTGTATATCGTAAGCGAATTTTAGATTCAAGAATTTTATTCCTAGGTACGTTGATCTTCCGAAAATTGGAGATATGATGAAATCACATTATATCGCTGATAAGGCTAAGGATAATGTTTCGCATGGATGAATAAAATTATGTAAACTTACATGATTAATAAGCACATGTTCACCGACTATATTTTTAGGTAGATTACGTAAAGATTCCATTAATTTATCCATTGAATTCAATCTTCTTCTTGAATTCGAATCTCCCAGTAAAAGTTGAAATATAGAAAGTGCAATACGAAATAAAACCTTCACACCTAGAATGAGAGTAAACAAAAAACTGTGTTCAACTCCATACCCTTTGATAATACAAGATTTTAATTTTTAATGCTACTTAACTGTTGATCATTATTTGTCCTGTTACAGTTTACATTTTAAAATATCCGATATTTATCGATAACCGCTTTATCCAAAAGAATCATGGCGAACGGTTATTTAGAATAGTTTGACAATCTAGATGGCAGATATTGTCATGCTTGTATTAACTGTCTGTCGTCGTTTTCACGTAAATGTTATACTCTAAACCAAGAGCAGTTATGTAACACAATTTGTTATTGCTCATAAGTTAGAAAGATGTAAACGTATTTTTTCTTGCCAATTTTATGATATTAAAATGTGCAACTACATATATGGATCAAATTCATATTTGTGATTGGTATGGATAAAACCCTAAGCATACTAAATTTTTAGTTGAAACAAACTAGGAAAGAATAACATATAAAGTACAACCATTATATTACACTTGTTTGTCAAGCTTGCAATATCGGATCTCAAAAGCACTGTTTTGAAAAGCTATTCTGATAAAAGTAAGTATCCGAGACCACTTTTCAGAACATTACGTTGAAACCACATCCACCCAAATTATTGTTCTTTGAAACATCTTACACTGAATTATATCAACGAAATTAAGCCAGGAATACCATAAATGCAACGAAATATTTCATTACGAACACATAAATTATATGATTCATCGGAAGATAAACTTGGTATATTCAAAGATGACAGTAATACAGTTGTTAGGAATCTCACAGAAGACTTGAACTTGAAGCTAATGAAAGTTTAAGGGAGATGGAGATCCATATTTCTTTCCCGGAAGCACAAGAGAAATATGAATTCAGTTACTCTAGAATAACATTACCGACTATTCAGCTATAGGCAATATCACTTAGTCTTAAACTTTGTATTACATCAACTAATGTTAATGAAACGAATGTCAAAATCTAATTTGAAAGTTTCATTCATAAGATAAATGACCTTACCCCTGTATCTAATATGGATTATGAACAATTCAAAACAACTCTTGAAGAATGTTATAACCGAGTTCTATTTAAGTACTTTCCAAGATTAATATACATCCTTCCTATAACTGAGTGATATGTGTGATGTAAATAACATGATCATAATCTGCATTCGATCGACAGAATAATCAATGAAATCACGTGAATGACAAATCTTACTTGTGCATAGAACAACGTGGGCAGAAGGTTAGTCAACACAAGGTTGATTACTTTTGCTTAGACAATTCCCAGATAATTTAAGTAACTTGTGTCAGTGAATGGGAATAAACAAATTCAACGGAGAAAACTTTATTTCGACAAAATCATTCACCTAAGCTTTACATTAGTATTTATAATTGTTTGGTAAATATATGAGTCTATAAAAAGCTAGAAGTGATAGTATCATAAGGTGGACTGAGATTTTAAATATCAAAAGAGGTTTAGGTTGTGATCGAGAGTTGAAAGAAGAACAGGTTGATAAGAATGGTTTATGGTCCAGAAATATGAGGGAAAACTGTCCACTTAACAGATATGAAGAATATTTTAATCACCAAAAGATTTTTATCATATCACAAATATTTTTTTCAATAAATTCTCTTCTGGTTTTAAATTATATATCCGAATTAATGATCGAAAAAGCGACCAGGTTCAGGGCAAATACATCATTTAAAATCACAGCATTTGAATTCAGGATTGTTTGTAAAATAAAGTGAAATTGTTAGTGTTTAAATGACTAATATGCAAATCAACATTGGATATATTTGTATTTTATTACGATGAGAATCTTCCAGCGGTTAAAATGTTCCTCATATCTGTTAATTGGATAATCATCTCTCATATTTCTAACCAAATTTTATTAGAATTACAACTAGGTGAAAAAATAAGTGATGATTATTTTCATGATCAGAATTGGGTTTGTGGAGATTGATTTGATCTTAATAGTTGAATTCATGAGTCGATGTAAGCTAGACCACCATTGAAAACCTGGATACACTGGACGGGCACTTCGTCCTATTTCAAGTCTCGCATGCGGGACCGTGGATACGCACTGCTGAGGAGTCCCAGACTAGGAAGGAATGGTCGTCCAATGTTTCCAGATTATTTTAATATCTATTGGCAATTAATCTAACCTTTTGTGCTTATTCTGTGCTTTTAATAAAATAATCAATTACATCAGTTGCCATAGAAAACTCATTACACTTAACTAGTATTAAATTGACTAATTTTATAATTCTGTCCTCTAAACAATTTCTTCTATCGTTGAGAAATTGTAACCGAATATATATATATCCATAGATAGATATATTCTTGAACTAAGCAGTCAAAAACATTCCGTCTATATTGATCAAGTTTTCATTAGTTATTTGGTCTTTCCCCTGAGTGCGTGCTAACTTAGTGATGTCATTGTTAATTTCGTAATCCTAAATTGTCGAGAATAGAAAAGGAGATCGCATTCTTAATTGAATTATATGACACTCAAAAATCAAAGTTTAACTGTGGCAAAATCATTATATTACGAAGTTGACTGCCCAATGGGGTGATGCTCAATAGATTATTCTAGAAGAGTTGTAAAGGGATTTTACCGTAATTTTTATGTAAAACTGCTTAGTATGAGGAAGGTAATTTGTCCATCTGGGATGATTACTGGATAATCCACAACCTATATTCACTACTTCATTTCTAAACATTTAACATCACACGTATTGCTTGGCGGTAAGCAATTAAGCTTTTTAAATCACTGCACATCGGAATAGCCATTATAGACTAACTTTCTGATTTCCTATACATTCATCCTTTGGTAGTATTGGTATATCTGATAGTCGTCAGTATAATACTGTACCTCAAGCTGAGCCCAAGTTATGGTTAAAACAATTACAATCGCAATACACTGACGTAACAAAATGTGAGGTATTCACAGCCGATCGTAATTAATAAGTTAGTCAAATAATAATTTAAATAGAAATCAGTGATCTTCAATATAAAGTTACATTTAATAAGATGTCAAGTGATTGGTCCTTTCTTTAACGTAATGACTTGGCAGATACGTTGAATGTAGGGAAACAGTCTATACATACCTTCGAAGAAGAACATATCCCATATACGGAGGACTGTAGACCATGGCAAATTGCGTGTATACAAACACATGAACCAGTCAATAGCAAAATATATTGGCTCTGTGTTACATTTCACCTATGTTCAAGAAATAAATAAAACCATTGAGACAATTCACATATAATATCTTTTAAGATAACAATAAGTTCATTCAATAACGGTATGATTTTTCTGAATGTTTTTTTATCCTATTCAAGTCTATTATAATGAAATAGTCGTGCTTCATTTTCTTATGCTTGGTAGGGTTGTAGTTGCTTAGCTTCGTTAATCAATCACCTCGATAATCGTTATTATATAACTCCCAACGGTGTTTGAAATCAGAAGGCAATAAGAAGTAGCGACTTCAGTTTATTAGGGGACAGCACAGATAACAAAGTTACAGCCATGTCGAGTGAATTTGGAGCAGATAGGCTAAAGTGTGTGAGCGAGCGAATACAGGGGCGAATTTATAGTCAAATCGAATGAGGCGCAGCTAGGCAAGGTAAAGACTAGGTGAGGCAAAGCAATTAATAGGATTTGAGCACATATGAACATGAGAAAGAGAATGATTCATCGATCGATCTTTAAGCGACTAACATTTAAGCTAGAAAGAGACATGTGAATAGGCTGTCGCATGTGATCAAGCGTATACGTTTATACAGACAAGATAGTAATCACAATAGTACAAAGAAATAGACGAATTGTTACTGTCCAAATAACATTGTCTGTTAAATAAGTTAATAAAAACGGCTTAACAAAATTAACCATAATCGAAATTGATTGTAGGACAGTTAATTTGAATCAAATTTATTTTAATTTTACCAGAAATTTGAATTATTTTAAATATGTATGAGAATTGGTGTAATATCCATCTAACATTTCACCATTTAGAAGTTTAAGTGAACAGGTATTTATTTACACCAATAATTAATACATTTGGCATTAAAAACAAACAATTCAGTTTTATTGTGTTAATGATTTACTCATTTATTTTTCCGATAAATTTCTAATTTCAATAGTTGACATCATGATTCAATTGAAGCTAGACCGCAATGAAAAACTTGGAAGCACTGGACGCCCATTACGTTTTATTGTGGGACTCCTCAGCAGTGCGCATCCCCAACCCCGCCTCGCGGGATACGAACAAAGGACCTATCAGTCTCGTGCGCGAGCGCTTAACCACTAGACCACTGAGTTGGCATCGAACGGTGTTAATGTCTAACTTTAACTAAACCAGGTTTTCCATGGTGGTCTAGCTTCAATTGACTCATGATCTTAACTAATGAAATTACTACAATCTCCACAACGCCCCCCCTCAAATTTCTAATTGTCATTAAAAATAACAGTTAAGGGAGTAATTCAACAATTAAGGAAATTAATATAAGCTTCATCTTCTTATTACACTATCGAGATATTGAGGAAGATTATTTTAATATATAGATGACTAAAGAAGCAATAATTAGAATGTTCAAATTTCTTATTAAATAGTTGGATAATAAAAATAGCCGTCGATGATTAATCAAACAAAATGTGGTTTGAAACAGTAAGAAGAGGTCTATTGTATATCACTCCACTTTATTGAATTAATTATTAGGAAAATCTAAACTGTATTAAAGTTCAAGATAATCATAGTGGTTGAATAGGATTTTTCTATCTATAAAATATCAGCAAAATGCGAAAGATCCTAATGGATTCAGATGTATGAAAGTTATATCGTAAATTAAATGACACACAATCATTGAGTCTGAATGCTTTATTTTGATCAATTGGATTTTTAATGTTCACAAATGGAACAGTCATACATCTTTATATTGAACCTAATGAGTCTTTACCTAAGAGTGATGGTTAGTGCTCAGATATATGATGGAAAACTAGTGTAATAGTGCATAAAGCGCAATTACTGTATGGAGATACAAAGTCAAGCTAAGGAAATTTGTCTTGATGAGACTATAGTTTAAAGACGACCTTTGAGCGACGCTAAAGGGACCTTGAGAGTGTTCATTTAATAACTAGGACCAAATGAGGGTTATAAACCTGTGTGAGGAATTAAAATTCTGATTTACAGATGGTGATTAAGGTTAGAAATTAGATTCAGAATTTTCATCACGAATTGACATCAGCTATAATGCCAAAACTCTATTTACTCGAATGAGTGAATTTCGTGCCAAAATCCGAGACCTGTTAATTTATACCTGATTGGTTCGTCCGTAAATTATAGTCTCGCCTTTGTCTGTATTCACACCAAAATAAGTGGAAATCATTGTGTGAAATAAATGTTTTTTCTTACGTACTGTTTCATTACGCAGCTGCTGATGCTGCCTCCAAATTTAAGTTCCTTCAAAAATATTGTCATTCGACGTCTTAAAATCGTTTACATAATTGATTACAAATTTTTTTCGATATAAATTCCTGAAAATGAATATATGTACTGTGTTTCGCTCGTCTTCAGTATTAATTTCAGGAAACAGATCTAACTCTATGAGCTAACTGTACAGAATTATCTATGTAACCAACTTAGATTTTTTTAAGTAATTGAATGTAAGATTGAAGACATTTTAGTGTGATCAATAACATGATGAAAGTATAATATTCCAGAGGTCTAGTAAAAGTGTCGGGACATTCCTAGTAACTATACAAATCTGTGTGTAATAGAAAGATATTCAAATGATTTCTTTTCAGGTTCAATAAATTTGTTTGTATATGATGAAGAAGAAAGTTTTATAAATCTTAAACAAATACCTGATAATATAATCTATAAAGTAACCATATTTGGTAAGATTTAAACATGATGTCACGTTAAAACTCCCTAATTCAAAGTTTACAGCCCATTAACAAATTAGGTTGACAATTATTGCACGGTGATCCTGATTCCCCATTCTTCGTTGATGAGAAATTTAAAGTTGTGATTAAAAAGTTTTGAAATAGGTGATTGGTGGACTTGCTTTTGAAAGTGTGTACTCATGTGATAATAAACAAACATTTTGTCGCCTATAATAATTTGGTTTGGTCGCCTTTACCTTTCCTCCAGCCTACTCCTACAATAGAAAACATTGTCCTTCAAGGAAGGCGGTGGTTGAGCATACCTAACACAAGCCACAACCACTTCAGCTGATGAAAATTTACTTCCTTATCAATCGATTTCCCATATTTACCTAGTGCTCTATTCCTAACCCAGCCATCGCTTACTTGCTGGTACCTTTACACAAGCAATGCTTCGAAGACTCTTATCATCGAATACTAGTAACCTGTGAATATCCCCTATTCTTAGTGGGGATGTTCCGCATCCATAAAGTAGGAAGCAGGGAACTTCTGCGCAGTAAACTCGCCCTTTGGTGAGGAGACTGTAGTGACCCACTTTTATCAAGAGAACGCGATTGATTTAATGGAAACAATTATTATTATAACCAATTGTACCAGTGATTGTTTTACTTTACTTGTTTGTTTAAGTGTACCAAAACACATACATTCTTCCGTTGATTGTGACCTTGCACGAATTCTCTTGCGCTCAGTAACCACACTTGTAACTTGGCACGATCTCAGTATTCTTTCGATACCACGAGATCGCCAACGAATACATCTTGACTACAGCCATCAACTGCCTTCTGATATTTGGCTTACGAGGGATCTTATCGGTTAACTAGCACGTAGTCTTCCTGTAGTGGTGACCATAGTCAACCGCGACTCGACGCCCCACTACAAGATCGATATCTTACCTACACCACAAGCGACGGAAGTTGACAAAAGTCAATCGAGTCTACTGAATTTGTGCTCAGAATTCGTCAGAAACCAGACCGTCAGTACTGATGAGATCCCCAAGATAAATGAAGTGGTCGATGCGTTCGACTACTTCACCCATTCAATCAGGTGATGATGCAAGCCGATCCTGAAGTAGAATTTTGCGTTTGGAGAGAGAGAACCACTTCCCAAACATGCTTTCATTGTTGCTTAAGGTGGTTGGAATATTCTGTATTATATCAGCATCTCCAACAAACGGAACCATATCATCTGCGTATTCCAAGTCAACAAGTGAATCTTTTGGTAGCAATTCCATCCATAAAATGCCAAACGATGGAAGTGTTGTCTCTAAGAGCATCCTTGCGAAAAATTTGGATAAAAATGGATAAAGCAGACAGCCCTGACGAACGCCACTTAAAGTAACCACTTCTAGTGATAGTTCGCCATATGCCCTAACTCGACCAGTAATGTTCTAATAGCCAGTCTGCACAAGGCTAATGTACTTCTTTGATACTCCATTCAATGACAGACACCGATTCAAAATTTTGAGATCAACGGAAATGAACGTCCCCTTATGGTCAGGAAATACAACTGTAATCGAATGTTGAGAAGTATGTCTATGTTCCACAGTCTGCGAAAAGGTGAATATTTGGTCTATACATCCACGTTTACGTTTGAAACCAGCCTGATTTTCTCGGATTTCAGGCTGATTTATAGTCCTAGTGAAAATGAACTTCCTAACAAATGATGATTGTCAGTGATTGACTGTTTTGGGCATAAATATCCTGCTAGTTAAATGGTATAGGCAAACAAACTTTCAGAGTTGAGGCTTTTGTTTCAGCTGTTTCGGGAAAATAAACTTGTAACTCATTGCTTAATGAAGCCTATCAACAAAAAAGTACTTTTGTTTGACATTCATATGAAACAATAATTACCATGTACATTATTGCAAACTTTGCACTAACTTTAATACGGTACCTTGACGATTGTTTACAGTCTTCTCCCATTTTCAAAATTTAATTCCTTTGCAGCTAGTAGAGTAGGTTTTGGACGGGTCTGGGAATTTCCATATCACCAACATTAATATTAAGACCTACTGTACTTCACTATTCAAAAGAAGTTATGTGCAAGTAAGAACAGTAAAAGTCCTCAAGTGTTATAACTAAGTAGGTTAAAGATAGCTAATATATTCCTATTCTTGCAAAATCGACAAAGTGATTCTATTGGATTTATTTTATGTAAAGGGTCATAAAATACGTTATTTATCACCACATTTCAAACATTTTCTTATCAAAGTCAAGAAAATGAATTTCACTGATACACTGAAAAACATACCATGTGATGATATATATCTGGTTGATATTTCTTCACCAATTCAAATAACATGTTCAATTCAATTTTGACACGTACCTTAAATGAAATCAGAAGTTAACAGTTATCACTATAGCTAAAGTGGAAACAATCAAGCATTTTGAAATAAAAGTAATGATAGAAAACAACGGAAGCTCAAATTATGTGTCTGTTTCCGTTAAGAATTTAAGCGTAATATTTCTGAATTGAAACTGATCCCGACAGTTAAGGAATAATTACCACTGACAGATAAAGAACGGATAGCTACGCTATGAGTCAACAGTGGTAGGAAGTTATTAACAAGGATTTGTCCTGAAAGCTTAAAGGTTTTTGTTTGGTCCTTAAATAATGAAGTTTTTACAGTTATACATTTCTAGGGCAAATAGAACCATTTGTTAGAAGGGTTGCTCAGTCAACATTAACTTTCCAAAACCATTTTCAAACTGATTTTAGATTGGTAAAATTACCAGACGATAATTGTTGGATTTTTGAAATAAACACTAATTAGACATGTTGGGCATGAGATGAAGTCTAATTTAAGTAGTAAAAATAGTAAGTTACTTAAACACAAAAAGTAGCGAACTATACCACATAGTAAAATCTTAAAAAAGTAAAACTGTTTATCTAGAGCAAAGTAAATATTTTATTTCTAAAAATGAAATTGACAACAAAACGTGACAGTGGTTTGACATCAAAATATTGTTGTCTCATTTTTATGCATTATGTGCTTCAAAGAATAAACAGGAATATAAATAGTGTACTTTTACATTTACTGCAACTCATGTTCTATAATCTGCATCCCATAATCATGTCACATTCCACTACGTCTTTCCTTTTTTACATGAACGTGAATAGTCAATGTACAAAAAAGGATCGGAAAATGACTGTCTATTTGCTTTTAAGAATGCTCAATAAAAAGTCTATATATGAAAGGGAATAAAGCATTCCCAGTGCAGTTACCGGACAGTAGATTATAATACTTAATTTTACGTGTATTTAACTTACCATTTTATTATAATCACCTAACCTCCTTTTTAATGCATTTAGATTATCTTCATACTTTACCGAATGAAAAAAAGCCATGAAATAAAATAAACTATTGATATATTAATGTGTGGTTTAAAACAGATCTACCAGTGGGATTAAGAGCAAGAAATTCTTTAGTATGTTCTATGTTTGGTGTATGTGAAAACAGTGAGGCAAAAGAATTGTATTCATTTCCAATGATTGTTGGTATTTATCTGGAATCCTTAGTAAAATACTGTCACATATGAAAATAGAAAATTTTTCATTTAATAGTGAAACAACAGGTATTACCATTTTATTTAATTAGGTCGCTTGGTCTTGTTAAGTGAATAAATGACCAATCTCTAACAGAAATATAGTCATATTAGGCAAGATAACTGACTTACAAGATCCGATTTAAAATAATCGGTCATATATCGGTTGCATAAACAGACAAAGGTCCAAAATGCATCCTCTTCTGGCATATGTATAAGTAACGCTGCAGCAATCGGTGCTTGAGCTTGGCAGTAGCCAGTAGCAGGATGTAGCAGTGAATATGCTTTGAGTACGTTGAACAGAGATGCTTTTCTAATAAGTGAATAAAAATTGAGAGAAACAACGGTGTTGAAGATTTTTCAAAACGGTTAAGCCAAAGTATCGAAATAGATAGTTTATACTAAATCTTAAATTCTTCATTATTCTGTGTACGTTTACTTTCACTGTTTTGCCGACTATTTTTCACCCGTTTTGAAACATTGTGATTTCAAATGATATAATTTTGCACGGTGTTACTTATTATTGCTCAAGTCTAATAAATTCTCAGAGTGAAACCAGGCTATATTAATTCCATTTCGTAGTTTGTCATTTGTTCCAGGTTTGATAGACTTGTAGGCTTCAACAAGTAGCCGGTTTTTAAAACTACTCCTTTGTACCACAGAGAAACTTAATAATGAGTATATCGTATGTCCAGACAGAACTTGTGCCTTTGACTGATGTATTTCCTCACATGTAATCCATAAACTGCACTGTCTAGTGAATACAAGAGCTGAGGTCGTCATATTCTTTATAAATTGTGGCATATATCAACTGCATTCCCTTGAAGATCTCCCTCACTTGTGGCAAAACGCTTGCCCCATCTCCATTTTCAATGTTCAAAGCTTAATTCGAAGCTATTCAAGTTCTGGCTTTTCAGCTATCTTTAAATTTTAAATTTTGGTAAAGTCGGGTGCAGGGGCGATTTTCCTAAATATAGTTTATCAACAATTATTCGGCAGTCACGAAACACATACAACAGCATCCGTCTTATCTTTTCATTACTACAGAAAACTGATGAATATTCTTGCGTTGCATCATTTTCGTAGTATTCAGAGCCCTAAGTAAAACTCTTGGGCCCCCCAAGAAAGAGCCGTTTTTTATTTTTCTCCTTATACACCCTTCAAAATTTCATCAGTCATGTCAAGGTTTTCCTTAGGTTACACCGAAACGCTTAGTAGCTTAACATACGTAGCACTAGCAGCTCAGTAAAATATAGACTTTATAACTAATTGCCTTACTGGCTAGAGATAAAATTTCACCAGCGCTATTATCAGAGGAAAATTCAAGTTATAATACTGGAAAAAAATAATTTTCGTTTCTGCTTTTTGTTCAATCAAACTATTTCTACTGTTATACTTTGAGGAGCGTCAGGCATAGTATGATCTATTGAGTTGGCAATTCAGTTCGACATTAAATATGAGATAATTTTTAATAATATGCTTTGATTTACGTGAGTGAAATATGTTTATTCAAAGAGGGCTAGTGTGTTGACTACTGGTAATTAATGACAAACTTGACTTACCCATTACCATGGCTTGTAGCAAAAAGTACGTGATTAGGTAACTGTCTGTCGACATCTAATTTGATTTGTGAAATTGTCTTTGGATCACCCGACATTTTCAAAAGTACCTGTGTACGATTTAAATATAAAAATTAGTAGTCGAGAAAAATAGGTCACAGAAAGACTGTTTTCGTCACAAATGTACCAAGGTATTCATATTAAATTAGCTACGTTTTGCAATTGAAAGAGCTCTTATTTTGGAAAAAATTCAGCATGTCTGACAAAGTTCAACCACGTTAGGAGTGACATGAATATCACTGAATGAACTAAACTGTACTCAATCGAGAATCGGCTGACGTTGGGAATATAAACTAATGAATGCTAAGTTGGTGAATCCAAAGTCCCGTAGTATCTGTTGGACCCGAATATCCATGACATGATTTCTGATTAATTGGTTTAGAAGTCTCAAGCCACGATGAAATATCTTTAACGTGTTCTTGAATTTCTAATGGCTCTTGATCTAAAGTAAGTCTGCAATCAAAAATGCTTTCAAAATGTAAAGTCTCTACAGGTTTCCTACTTTAAAAACTATTGTTTGTCAAGATTTTTTCTTAAACTGGTTATATTATGTTAAAAGAGGTTATGGAGATTGAAGTATGCCTATTTTGTTTCCTCATTAGGGATGTTAATAAAACTGAAAAGAGATGGAAAAGACGAACAGCATTTAACGGTGACAGAAAATAGTTTAGCAATAACAGCGGGAGTTTTGTTCCAACTGCGCTTAAAATCTGGGTTCTTTTCCATTTTTGTTGACGTTGTGGATACATTAATCAAGTCCTCATGCTTCAATAAGTGCTTGGACACCACCACATCTGCCGGTGAAGATCGCTGGGCTAATCAACGTCTAGGTCATCTTGGGCCCGTTGGATAGAACTACTCTGCGATCCTATGTTAAAGAAACGTTTGCCTACACTCTATATAAAAATATCATAATCAGGATGGAGAAAATGTTAAAGTATGCTTTCTGGTTTATTTACAAAGCGTAAGGTACTACTCCTAGATTCACTAGCGCTCTGTAGGAAGCCGTTGAAAATTGTTAAAATATGTTTATACCTGAGTAGATTTCCAATTACCCAAGTTGAAGTAAAGTAGTTAATAAATCTGTAAACAGTAAAATCAAGAGCAGATTGTTCTAGTCTCTGACATATATAGCACCATAGTCATGTTATTTTAGCTGTAAACGTTAAGATATGCTTAGTGTTCATGAGATTACTTCTGCTCTATGGTTGTGAAAATTGGCCCATTTGGGATGGAAATATCTAGCGACTGTATGTCAGATCACCGCCTTCTTCGAATGATCGCTTACCTTTCAATGACAGCATTCTCACCAAGCTATGTTTTTCGCCTCTGAGACTAGGTCAAAAATACAGGCATCCATTTTTAAACATAGCACAGTGATGAAGAAGATATCACATAAGACTAGTATCTATTATTCCATTAGAACCCGCTGGTTGAGATCCTATATATTGTCTAATTCAGTGGTTTGGGATGTTATCCTATAGTGTTTGGAAGTCAGCGGCAGTCCTGTTGAGGTTTTCAGCAGGAGTAAAATCAAAATGAACTGTATCTTTTAAGAAAAACCATTTTTATTCATTCACAGCCTACTATAATGAAATCTCTTTTTTCATGTTACTGTAATTTTTTATTTGATGGCGCATGTTTTTCTCACTACTTGTTGAGAATGTCTATTCGTTATTAATAAAAGATGAAATAAGATAAAACTGGGGAATAATAAATCACGTAACACAATTATATGGAACTGACGTGGTGGCGAAATACTCGTAAGAGTCAAATATCTTAAGTATTGAAAGACGGAAACGGATTCAGTGAACCAAATGTTCTATCTAATAAAATGAACATAATGATACCGTTAGAAGAAGCGATATGACAAAATTAAGAAGCAAAATCACATTCCTTTACTGGATGTGGTTTTTAGTTCAACATTATCTGTTTTAATTCTACGTGGAAATTGCTCATTGTAGTACTTGTTTTGTCTTCTAGTGTGATATTTTATTCGCCACAATATTAATTTATTTGAGTGCGATGTCCACTTAAGATACGATATTCTTGTATTAAATTAAAACGAACTATGATCAGCATGACGCTCAGCATATGATTTGTTATAATTTTAGGTATTTCCCAAATATACGATTTCATCCTAATTGATAATGAAAATGGGTGTGCAATCAATATGTGATGAGTGCATTTTCGACTAGGATCGTCGTGTTTAGTGGATAACAAATCTGTATTTTTAAGTCTTGGTGTTCTTAATTTGTGTTGTGAGATTTGCAGTGGTTCCTCGTCTTATAAGTATAAATAATAAGCGATTCCGACATAACAATCTGCAACGCAGTCATAACAATAAGTATTAGGGCTTTGGTATGAATAGCTAGCAGTAATCTTATGTTATAAGTCCTACTGAGAAAATAATATTGATGTTTTTTCTCATGGTTATCAACTTCTTACCATTAATATTTGAAGAGTAGTTGTTCTACAAATTGTATTTTAAAGGAAACAAATAGCATGAATCATATTGTGGTGCGTGCTACTTATACTGATGTAAGTAGTATATCATGCGAGTCAGGAATGTAATGTCTAGCAGCAGAAGATGGTGAAAGATCAAGAAAGTAAGAGCGGGAATAGAATGCAATTTGTATGAAAATGTAAGAACAATGAAGTCTGAGGCATTTTGAGACAAGTGGTGGACAGTTTGCAAATAAACGATTTAATATATAGTTCTCAAAGGTGTTTGTATATAGGGCTTTTAGGATGTTAATAAACTTCTCAGGCACACCCTTCTTCAATAGACAATCCCAGAGAACAGTCCTGTCCAACGAATCGAAGGCAGCCCTGATGTCAAGAAACACTACGATTGTTGGCCTTTGAAAAGTATGGCGGTGTTCTAACATTTGGCGGAGGGTGAAGATATGATCAATACATCCTCGACCAGAACGAAACCCAGCCTGCTCCTCGCGGGTCAATCTTTCTCGGGTTTTGAACAACCTACGAAGTATGACGGAAGCCAATAGCTTGGACGCAATCGGAAGTAGACTTATCCCCCGATAGTTGTTACAGGAACGACGTGAACTCTTTTTAAAGATAGGGACAACTATCGACTCATTCCATGACGTTGGTACACTCTCTAGCTCCCAGACCTTTGCAAACAACGTTGTCAGTTCCTTAGTCAGAAATTCACCATCTTTCAAAAGAGCCGGAGGTAAGTCATCTGGGCCAGGTGATTTGTAGCTCTTCAAGAGTTGGAGTTCCCTGCGGACTTCCGCCTCATTTGGTGGATCAAACGTCACCGGCCATGCAGGGCAGGACAGTCTGACCGATGTTGCCGGAGCAGCAGGCCAGTTGAACTGCCCATCGTCCAAGACGTCGATGGATGTTAGTGATTGGTATCCCATCATCCTCACAGATTGTTTCACTCACACCAGACTTCTTGCTGCCAGTGACTCGGATGAGTTGGAAGAGCTTCCGGTAATTACCAGATGCAGCTGCTGCTTCCAGCTCATTAGCACGCTTCGAATACCAGGCTTCTCGGTCCTTACGCAAGCTTTGCTCAATTTCCTTACGTAACATCCTTCGTTTGTGGTCAAACTCACGGTCACGCGGAGTAGACTGACGGGTTTCGATGAGTTGTAAGGAACCTGCAGAAACCCAGTGCTTAAAAGCGGCACGTTTCGCAAACCCACAACTGACTGTTCCCGCCATTTTCATGGCGTCATGCAATTGCAACCAATGCTCATCCATACTTTTCGGTGGAGTGGTAGCTAGCCTAGAGGCTAGCTCGGTTCGATACTTACTAGCAACAGAAGTTGCAACCAGCTTGCTAACATCAATCTGTTGATGGCGTTCACTTCGTTGTCCACTGAAAAGTAAGGCAAGATTGGCGCAGACCAAGGCATGGTCAGAGTCCAGATAGGTACTCCAAAAGAAGCGGAAGTCTGGTACACAACCACGCCAGCGGTAGCTGATCGCGATGTGATCAATCTGAGTCCAGGCTTGGGATGCCGAGGGAGGACGCCAGGTGGCACATCGGCGATGACTATGCCGAAAGTTAGTGCTAGTCAGAAACAGGTTGTGGTCTGTGCATAGTCGCAGTAGACGGTCCCCGTTATCTGTCCTGCGACCAACAAATCCCCATCGGCCACCTAAACGACTCTCTTCTGTGCCTAGACGCCCGACCTGAGCATTCAAGTCTCCGGCTAGTACTACAATATCTGTCGAACGCACTTTCTGGAGAAGAACAGATAACTGGTGGTAAAACTCATCCTTGATTGCATCCGGGCTGCAATCTGTCGGGGCATAGGCGGAGATGACGAAAAGACATCGTTTCTCACGCCGATTTCTTCTCACTTTGATGGAACTTTCTAATCTAACAGCACATAACCGACTGTTAATGGGGATCCAATCGACTAGTGCTGCCTCAGCTCTAGCGCTTAGTGCGACACCAACGCCAGCAAGACCAGACGAAGATGCCACAGGGTCCCCGGATAAGCGCACGTAAAACAAGCTTTTCGAAGCGACAGATGGAGATCGAATTTGTAGTACTTCACCAGAGTCTTGAATACGGGTCTCGGATAGACAACAAACATCAATATTAAGACTTTCCAAAGACATAGCCAGCCCTATCTGTTATCCAACCTGCATAAGTGTGCGAACATGGAAGGCAGCCAATTTGAATGGTGCATGTGGTTTCAGAAAAACTGCTTCAGTACTCATATTCGGTAGTAACATACAATTTTCAACCGGACAGTAACTCGAGAACGTTTAGATAGAGTCGAATTTCCACCAAAGACGAGCTGCTGTATAAAGTGAAAAAATAAGTATAGACGGAGTAGGAATAAAAGAGGGTGAATAATAATGTAGTAAATAATAATAATAATAACAATAATAATAATAATTTGGATCATTTGACTGTTATTCGGAGCAAGAAATGTAGTGTCCATAGATATAGAGAGTTTATCATTTGCGTGTGGGCTGTGATACTGCCCGGGTGCCCAGACCGAAGCAGGTGCTTATCTTAGGGGGCCACTCCCCGAGCCTTTGACCTAAAGGTCTAACCCACAAGGCAGTGGAGCATCGTAAGGAGATGCATTCCCATGGTAGCCGGTGACCGAAAATTGGTTCATACGCCATTCGTTCCCGCAGGATACTGGAGCCCATGTGCACCATTGATTTGGAATCTGGTTAAAGCGCCGGACATTCGCTTTTCGTCCTCTCATTTTCGTAAACAACACCCGCGCCACGAGAAGGCAGTGAGTAGGACTTCCCTGGCAGAGGCTATATACGCGTGGCCGTGTGAGAGCATTTCGAGAGGGAGAGCGGACTCTCCCCACTCTCGGCCGTACCAGGGTATTTGGGGGCTAATTCCTTAAACGGTTATTTAGAAGCTATCTTAAAGGGTTGAAATTTATATCTGTTTCACGTTTTAAAAAATTTATCTTTATAGCACCAGATCAACAAGTAAACACATTATTAAATAGATATGATCCACACAGAGATAATAAATGCAACGACCAACATAGCTTATGATTTTTACCAGTGATATTCAAGATAGATTTCAATTTACACAAGTCAAAACTGCAACAGGAGACGACTATGGCTTTCCTTTTGAAAACTTAGTTACTAAAACATTGAAGACTTTACCTACACCATGAATCTATAATCTAATTATCTAGATAAGCTCATAGGGCAAATAAACTCAAAACACTTCAGTCTCTGATAATCATATCATGATGATTATTATGTGTGTCTACCACTGTACATCTTTATTGTCAGGGGCGCTGAATATTAAAAACATAAATGTGAACCGCGAGTTATCTTATTGGGTATTCTTACCATTAGCAATACCCCGGCAAACCAAAAATTTACTTCATGAGTCTTTTACATTATATTCAAGTGAATTTTTTTTCTGGAAATTGAAAGTCTGCATATTTGGTGTATATGTTTAAACCTTACCTGATATTTCCCACGTTCCATCTGCATTATTCTATGGCTTCCACAGAGATACTGCCACACTCTTGAACGTATAGCCGGTGCAATACCTTTTCGACATTGATTTCTCACCCGATCTGTTTTATAATACATCCATTTATCCCATTCAGTCAGCATATTTTGCCATTTCAATTCTTTTCGGCGTATTTTATTCAAAGAGGATTCAGAAAGTTTCCTGTGTATTTTGGTTTAACCTGATGATCCACCTTACCGCGTGTTTGTTTCGCAGAATTGTTCACCTTCGAAGAATCCATAACGATCAACAGCACCGTTTACCATCAGGATGTTGGCTGGTTCGTTGAAAACTTCTATATATTTAATGAAAAGTTATGCTTGACATAAAAAACTAACCGGAAGCCATGTCATTTCAAACTGTTGGGACTAGGCAGTCTAGAAGTACATTATCACAACAAATTGCATAACAACACAGAAATTCGATTTCTATGTCTTTTGGTTTGTATTGAGTGCAAAGAATTCAAGAATATTCAGTATAAAAAGTCGTTAGTCAATAAAAGATATCTTGAAGATTGGATCAAAAATTACCTGAAGACAGAGGTGAGTATAACAAGTAGTCTTAATTGCTTAATGGCAAATAAAACCCATCTAAAAACAGATAAATATGTATAGATATGTATATATAAAACCTGAAACTCACTTTTTGGTGGCGTTTGGTTCTCTGAGCTGTATGCTTTGGTCGTGGAGTTTTTATCGTTCTTCTGAACGACAACATCAGCACAAAATTCAGGTAAAAGTGGTGTTTGAGTTTATCCACATATGACTCACAGCTTGTCCTGTAGACCTTGATTATTGTTGACCTTTAACTTGTCATTGTTTAGTTTTTTTATTTTTATTGTATCACCCGTCGATTTGACTCTTGGTCCTATATTTGTCTATAATTTTTTGATTGGTTGATAAATTGGACTGAACACTTCACTTCTACTTGAAGTTTGTGCTGATGATATCGTTCAGAAGATTGATGAAGGCTCCACAACCAAACCATTCAGTTCAGGTAACAAAACCCTACCAAAACCATCCACCTTAGCTACAAATCTTCTATACCACCTCTGTAACTTGCTTTACTTGTTTAGGAATATAAACTTTTGTCCAAACATCGAAGTAAGCATATAAAGTCTCATTTATTCTGGCTATTAGTCATTACAGTATTAGTAATGATGACAAAGTGTCACGCAGTCAATGGTTAGACCATAATAGAATTCACTTAGAGTGCATGTCTGAGAAGTGGTTACACTAACAGGCAGTCAGTCATACGCAACGTACAACTTGACTAACATGTATATACTTTGAAACTGTTACTATCAATACAATCATCCACCCTCAAGGATTCTTGTGGCTTTGCTGTATAAGCGCTCATGACTTTGTACTTATGTCCAAATAAAGAGATGCAATAATGAAAAGTTATATATCCAATAAAAATCTATCATTATAATTTATCGATATAGGGACAAAAACGATAGCGTTAGATTTTAAGTATCATTATATCAGTGAAGATCTATACTTTCGGGACTTAGGTTCTCACCATAACTCCATTCACCTTCTACGGATGGGAACGCTTGGCTGAGGTAAGTTTTACACTTTAATAATAAATATCAGCTGTTGGCACTAATTTAACATATGATTTAAACTTAATTAATGTGTTTGCGATTGCATGTTAGAAATTTCCTTCGTTCATCTTAGTCACCAAGTAAACAGGTAATATTTTAGGAAATCATAAGACTTTCAGTTAGTTTATTTACGTTGACTTCACTTTTGGTTTTAGTTTCACTTTGATTTAAACAAATCGAAGGACTGACGTGAATCTCTTCAGAGGTTTCAATCAGCATAATGACTATAACCATTCCCTTTAAGAGTTTTGTAGACACTTTGTTGTAATGCTAAGAGGGTATTGGTTGAAGCGTTTGATCTTGCTTCAGAAATAAGCCGATTCACTGTAGTATTCACCATTAAAATTCACTTTTAAAATGAAACAAAATGTTGTTCAGTTTGAAGAGATGTGTGAAAATGTTTCACATAGGGTGGTTAAAATTAATTGTTAAATTATATTTCAAATAATACAGTAAAAGGAGAGAAGAATCAACTATTATTTAACAGGCGATCTGATAAAGGGCTTGAGATTTGTAACCATGAAACATGATGAATCTCTTTTCATGGGTCTAGTGAACAACAGATATTACCTATATATCTTCCCTCATATCTCAGAGCTAGTCAAAGTCACTGTATATTGTGAACAACAGAAACTAAGTAACCGAGCTCATTGGGAGCTTTACAATTTCTTTAAGTTTTATCACGATTTTCGGTTACAGACTGATGAGATGTCGATGTACATCTGGTAGGTTTGCTTAAATTTATCAGTAAAATTCATTTGATTACTTTTTTAAAATACAGTTATTGTAACAGAATCATTCCTTACAAATATGTGATGAAAACAAGGGGAACCTTGTAATAATTAAACTTATTCTTTTACTTCATTTTATCAGTTGGCTTTTAAATATATTTGCCTTTGGAATGTAGGCAGCAGATTAACTAAAACTATTCATTATCAGAAGGTTTTTATTACACATGTAATGACATCCAAGCTTGCATAAAGTAATCTAAGTTGAAAGTTGGGCCGAACGTTCCAGAACTCCAGGTAGAGCAAGGCTGAATTTTTGCCTAACCTTGGCTGACTTTAATGATTCACATCAACCGTCTATAGCTCACAGCTCCCGGTATATATTTTGACGGCAGCTTACTGTTGACTTAGAACGTGAACCATTATTGTCAGACCTTGTTCATACTAGTCGCTGCGATATCACAGACTTTCAGTTTCCATTCACTCTGCCAAACAGAGGTCACATTGTATTGTTCTTTGGGCTTTAAACACAATATACAACATGCATCTACTACACTCCGTCTCATCTGATGAGCCAACATTCCTTCAATCTGAAACTGTGGTATCTCAACAGACTGCATATTAAGAGAACAAAACAAATGATAGAATCCCTCCATTACACCAGCTAAACTAGATAATGCCGAGGCTGAAAGTTCACCAAACTATTTTAATCAGGTGTACTCATATGATGTTGTTATTAACACTTTTCACGGCCAAGCTGTTGAGATTCCGACCATAGGACCAGTACATGCGACTGCAAAATTTGCTTTTCGTTTACTTGTTAGCATTAAACTTGGTAAGTCACTGGGCTCTGGTGGTTTACATACAAGATTGTTGTCATCCGTCGCGGATACTATTTCAGAATCGCTCACAGTTGTAGTTCAACATATCTTTTTCCAAAATTCAATTCTCTAGAGATTAGGCAAATGCTATAGTTAAACCTATATTCAAGCATGAAACAAGATAGATCATGTTTATCTATCGACCTATCGGTCTAAATGACATAGTAGTTAAGGTATTTAAGAAAATAACTCGGACTAAGCCACTAAGTCACGTAAAACCATATAATTTATTGGCTACTTGGTAGCACGATTTTTGGAACAGGTACTCGTCCTTAACTAACCTACTAGCTGCGAGGGAGGTTGATCTTTTTGTCTGCCGGATATTTATAGATTAACAAGATATTTAATAGATCGCCTTAATTAAGGATTATGCAAAACTCTCCAGATTTGGAATAAAAGATGTCACACAAGAGTGGATGAGAAACTTTCCCTGTGGTTAGAGATAAAAAGTGGTGGTAAATGAAGCAATGTCTGAATAGAAGTTGGTTAGATATCCCATGTCCTAAGGCACTCTCTAAGACCCTGTGTCTTTTGTTCTGTTTCAATGGTTTATCAAGACTGCTCAATTCATCGACACTGTTGTTATAGATGATATCAAAATTTAAAGAACAAAAGGTGCTGACGCTGATCAACCTAATTATTCGGTCGCTCGAGATTCGACTCCACATAACCGAAGGACAATGATGTCGAGGAAGTGTATATAACCTGTTTACTTAGTAGATATTTTGTATCCCGTCAATAACAACGTAGATATGTGAAGTCAAATATGAAAGCATTAAAGCGACATATATTACAGACGTTTCACAGTGTAGAAGAACGGCAAGAAACGAGAAATGCACATGAACTGGAGTTTCAGAAGCCACCAATTTAGTATTTAATAAGTTACTCGATCCATGTAAGCCTGAAAGAGATATAAGTACAAGACTCTCGCACTAACGTACACAAGTACATGAACCATGATCAAGGTTATGTGTGGGTACTTGGCAGAGACAAAATTATGGGTGATAAAAAAACCGACACGTTCTAAGATGCGTCTAACGTAAGGAAATTATACCGCTTCTCGATAGTCGTCCACCTAGCTACACAGGAGAGGTTTTCTCAGTTGAGGTTTGTTTGCGACAACGGACATGTTGATCAACAATGTTGACAACAATGGCGTGAGTATGTAGTGTCAGTTATTATGCCGAGCCCATATACCTTATTCTTGCTTTCGGACATCCCATTTTATTCATTCTACTCGAGTCATATTTTGACCTTGTCAATTATTCAAAAATCAGTCTTAACTGTTTTTATATGAGCGTATATATGTGTGCCCTTCTTATTCCATTAATCACATGTCTGTAGCTTAATTTTGTCTGACTATAAATATTGAGTAACGCTTGACTAAAATGGAGTTGGCTTCCCAGCCATCTTCCCTGCGTGTCATTTTTGCTTTCCTCTGTTTCATTCGCTTCATGTACAAAACATATGTATTCATAAGTCAACTCTCGCTATTCGACTTATTTAATTCCGTTATTGACTGACGCGATTTAAGTCGACGATTATATACGAGAATAGGCGATAACAATCATTCGTACGATCTAAATAGGAGTCAGATCCACGGGCCACTAAAAGTATTTTAGAATTGCGTCATGTTTTCGAAATTAACTGAAGAAAAAATACGTTTATAAATAATCGGGAGATAATTCTCTTAATTTCGGGGACAGACACTGAAACCCCAAACTTTCTCCTAAACCTTGATGAAGGTCATTCGACTTGGGGGATTTCCCCAAAATATCCCCAAACTTGAGAGATTGAGTTAACAAACACAAAATATGTAATCTCCACGATGCATACTAATTGTTCAAACAATTCCTCACATTAATAAGATTTAAACTTTATTGTTCGTGAAGAATAATAAATAAAATCTATTTGTCCAGCTTATCTTATAATAAAAGCTGCGGTATTATCGTTGTCATTGCCAGTGACCTTCAATAGTTTCAATACCCAGTTTGTCCTATTGTGACAGCCAGTTTTACGGTATTAAGTACTTCTGAACGAACAAATCTGGTCTGGGTATAGAACAATATGTTTAGTATGAAGAGGAATAAGTTACATAGAATTATCACGCTTGCATGGACGAATCATGCCTGAATGATTAAGTGCTCCAAAGTTCATCATTTCTGAAACCCATGGTTTTAATGTCAAATGTTGTGAATCAGATTATCGTATGTGATGTGATGATCGTAGAAGTAGTCAGGACCAGTCTGAGCGGCATATTTTTCTCATTTTGTCTTCGGAGAGATATGTCGTTTAAATAGTCTGGAAAATGACATATCACAGATTATACAAATATGATGTTAAGCAAACATTGAAGGCATCAAGTTAGCTAAATGTTCTGGAAAGGAGTCACATAAAACATTGGTGCTCGGTGGTCGAAGAATGTCGGTGGCAAAAGTCACAAAAAGTCTTGCACATAGAAATTTCCAGTTTCTTTTGTGAGCGGGAGAATACGATGCTGCTGTTGTTCAGGAGTTAAATGGTGGATGGAGCATCAATGTTGTTCAATATTAGCACTCTAAATCTATTTATATTGATGGGATGTAGGTGTCTTGTTGTCCTGTTTTATGTCCTTATCAAGTATTTTTAGGAGATATCAACTAAATTGGTTATCTACCTCCCATTCTGAAGATCATCACGTATAGAGATGTTCAGTACTAGGATAATTGTTAATCAGTAATGCAAAAAGGACTGATCTTAGTACTCGGCCTTGTGACACTTTACTTATCATTTAAAACTAACCACATAAGGTAGATGGTAATTTCATGCTTTTTAATCTTTCTCAAATAAGATATGAAGTGGTAAATAGAGGAAAAATTCACACAACATATGAAATAACTGTAAATATAATAGCCTGTGTTAAGAAAATAATCATCGGAATTCCCATTAAATTAGTTTTAGTGCCTCATCCTGATTGGCTTTCGAGCAGAAGTTAGAAAATATGCTTTTGATACTAGAAATGTAAATAATAGCAAGCAATTGACGAGAAGCCTGAAGTTCACACGAATATGTAGTTACATTCGGTCAGTATAGTGACAGTAGAAAATACAAATGTCTTCTATATTTAGCACGCGGAGGAAAACGGAACTCAGATAGTGGACTCGAAAAGTAACGTATCGCATAATTTTTATACACATAAACAGAACATATTGAAGATATCATCAGGGGAATTACGACGGAGACAGTATGATATCACACAAGTGAAATTTGTAGTGTTTTAGTCACTAAGCGCACATCTGTTTCTGAGACAACAGCACAAGTTGAAATTTTTGGCTCCTACGTGGTTCCGAGTCCTTAATTCTAATTAACCAATCAGATATGCCTTCATTCAAAAGTCAGTCATGAAATAGAAAATAATGATGGGTTTCTGGGAAGTAGGTACCTAGAAAACAAGAGGAATTATCTTAACATGGTTGGCATCTTCGAGGCTTGTGCTGTGTCCAAACTCACAAAAAGTGTTGTAGCGGTAAATAAATCCCCAAATTAAATAGCTTTAAGTTTTCGACATTGGATGCTGACCATATGTTTTAGTGGACTCATCTAGCTGAAGGCGCTCGGTCATGCATCCGCACCAGATCACGTGTGGCAACGCCGTGCTCAACATCAACCGCAATCGCTAGCCAGATTAGATCAGAGAATTCCGATATATTGGTCAACGCCAAATATACTCTTCCGATCTCCTCGACTCTGTCTTTTTATTTCTTTGGGTGGGAACGAAATACATTAGAAGGTGTTACTGGTAGAAGCGTTGTCAAACACTGAATACCTGTGACATCATCAGTGTCATTTTTAATTCAAAGAATCTTACCAGAGACTAAAACTTGATAGATTGATTTTTTTCTAGGTTTCGTTTGAAATAATTGTTAACTGCGGCTTACTCCAGTTTACTTGCTGGCGTCTAGAATATTTCACTGCTAGATTCTATTTTCGACATTTTTCTTGTGTATAGTGAATGTAACGCCTATTTTATCCATTTTGGTTCTTTTCGCATTAGTGTTCAGTTTTCAACTTATCTCGGTTACCGGCCGATCAAAGAATATGGAAGAGGAGTTTAAGGTTGCAAAATTTTAGAGTAAGACAACAAGTAAGAACAAACCATGTCTGAGTGCGAGTAATTATTTTGGAAGTGTTTCATGCTAGCAGAATATGAACTGAAATGAACTCACAATAATTTAGGATATTTTCTGAAATTCTTATTACTGAACAGTTTCTTATATCCCACACGAGCAGTATCTGGTTCCATTAAATTTTATTATGTCGTGGTCCTATACATTTCTAGGGCCAAACGAGTGCAACACCACCAATCGTTGTGGAGATCAAAAGAAAACTCATGAAACATTTATTTATTAGTTATAAAAACTGAATATGAGGGGGGTAACAAAAGAAAACGAATAAAGCACTGTTTGGACTGCGATATGTCAAATGTCGAATTACAGATGCTATCCGGGGGTCAAATATTTGCAATCTGTGACATGGTCAATATGAGTCAATCGGTTAGACAATAATGGTTATAATAATGCATTTCTGAAAGGGAAGATACACGCCATTTTTACAGGCGCGATCAACAAATTGCCACATATGTTGGCCCACAGTATGCTCCCGAAGCAGGGTATTCAACTATAATCAATAAGTGTTTAACAGTACATTCGTGCAGATGTCTTGGAGTGTTAAAGATTAGGTTTACGCTTTAGTATCACACTGAGTATAGCCTTCAAAACACCTTTCAAAGTGGTATCGCGTCCACGTTATACACAAGATCCAATATCGTCATATATGTGTTAGAATTCTAGTCGTGCTAAATATTTATGCAATACAATTTCTTAAATTTATAGTTGCTATAAATTAGACTTGTAGAGCGCTTGGTGTAAATCATGACCTTAAGAAAACACGTACATGTCAGAAGTTCCATAGCTGTGCCCTCAGAGCAAGATTCCGAAAAAGGCGAAACAGAGGAGCAACAAGGCACTTGAATATGAACGCTATATACTGCTTAACATTTTGTAGTAGAACAGACAGCCATGTGATAAATTATTAGATTACATTCATACTAGCTCTTGTTGCCATAGTGAAATGTGATTAGAGGCTCCGGATGAGAGGATGCAGTAATAGAGAACGATGAATTGTGAATTGTAAGTTCAAATGAAGAAAGGGAGGTCAGTGTTGGAACAAGGAAGGCTGTTTATTAGAACCGAAAGTGCATATACAGTAAAGTGCCAAGAAAACAAATAACTATATCTTTTGTTGTCTAATTTTTTATTATTCATTGCCAATCACACAGTACTAGTGTCAAAGTCAGGGTTAGTAAGTTATAGACTGTCTTGGTAGAATAGCTAATTCAGCATATAATCGGAAACATGTGTTGGAATAATGAGCGTAGGAGAATAAGCTCAATATCACAGATTGACTGACTTGTTCTCAAACATAAAGACCCTAACACAAACAAAAAGTTCTGCACGGGTGGTTTGAAGTCATCACCATCACCATCTATACTTGCTGGTCAATAACTCCACCCTCCCTCCATTTGTGATGTTATTCTCATTTAAGTTTATTTTTCGGGTATATATTTCATGCCTCACATTCCGCTCCGTGTTTCACACCCTGTTAAAAAACACTGTTTCTATAAGTACCGTTTTATAAGCTTATCAGACAGTTACAAATTATAGATTGAGGATAAGGCATCGATGCATTGCTTTAATTGACTATTATATTAAGCATAAGTTTCCAATCAGAGTATAAGCATTAAGAAGGGCATAATGTAGGATAGTTATTGTGGGTGGAAGTTTAGATAAGGTAACGAGTGGTGAAACAAAATTAATGGCAAGTCAACATAGTGTACAGGAGAGTGAAAAGCTGACGAATCAGATGTTGGAAGGACCATCGTTGAATGCAGCCTGGTTTAGGTAATCTCCATCGAGCATATAGAAAACTCCACATTGTTCTAAGACAACTGAAAAGCTCCTTAAATCCATGGACCATTACTTAATACAGTATTGGTAACTCAAAATTGAATAAATGTTTTCTGGCTGGCATTTTTTTAGCGAGTTAATTTTCTACGGGATTGGGTTGCTAACCTCATGCCCAACCCTCCCCCTTTATCCGGGCTTATGACCGGCAGTAGCCCCCAGAGGGATTCCAGGCGGAGTTAGGTAACTCACAGGTGACACTTAGAAATTTGCTAAAATGCCCAATCAACCTCGGTTCATAATCGAACAACAAAGGCAATGACTAGCAACTGCTGCGACAGCACAACAAAATGAACAGTGCATCTTTCAAATCTTGGAATTCGCTACTGATATAAGCAACTTCTCAGGAGTCCCTTAAGAAAAAGCATGACATTGTTAGATAATCAAGTCAGTATTTTAGACTAATTCACCAGTATTCCTTTTCTGCTTGTTCAACAAACATAAGTACTAAAGACGCCACAGGTGTTTGGAGTCTGAAAACGCTTTTACACGAAACAACCCTATAATCAAAGTATACCAGCCCAGTCAATTCAAAAGTCAAATGTGAAGAGGTTCGAATTTATATTTAAGAAACTAACGATATCTCAAGAAGCGTTTGTAGTAAGCTGACTAACGGTTGTAGATGTATAAGGCGGCATACCCGCTCGTGATCTGGTGAGGATGCGTGACTGAGCGTTTTCAGATCGATTTATCCATTAAAGCTAGTAGGGTCAGCAACAGATGTCGAAGATTGATAGAACTATTTATTTTAGGGATTTATTAACCACTAAATTCCTTACCTACAGACAACCATCCACGCGATTTACGAACGGGAAGTTTAGTCTTAATGTTATTTTCATTTATCAAAATTTTGCTGTGTCTTTATTCAACTAAAGGGCCATTTTCGCTCCAAAGAATGTCCTGAATTGAACGTATGATAGACTACTTTTCTTTTTGAGTTTTACACAAGCTAATATTTGACTGTGGTTTTGTCTCAGCTAACTATTCAATTTTTCCGTTTTTCACATCAAGGCTAGTTTTAATGTATCCTAAAAATTTTTAACACCCATTTTTATCCATTTCATCCCTTTTTAGTGTGCTATTTTTTGTTCTACGGCCGTAGACTTTTCCTAGAATCTTTTAAACAATTCACATCGCCATAGTCATGAAAACCTCGTGCAAGCAAGCTG